GTATGTTTTGGATTGGGCCAACCGGCTAACTCAAACATATCCAGGTTAGGTTGAACCAGCTTCGTAGTACAGGCCTCTGGTGTAGGACTCAAAGGACTCGGGTTAATGGAGAGGGGAGAATCGTCACTCCCAGGTCATTACTAGGATCCGGGTTAATGATCCGGATGAATCAGGACTCACCCATCTCTCTACTGGGTTGAGTTACCGAGTTGATAACCAGCGTCGTAGGACCGCTTAGCGAGATCTCATTTGTTAGGGTTAGTTAAGATAACTCAAAGATATCCAGGGTCTGTTGAACTGGCTTCGTCGTACAGGCCACTAGTGACCGGACATCTCCTTCATAAAACTAATAATAAGGCGTAATAATCGGGCAGTTCGATGTGTGTAGAGGTGTGTGTGTGTGTGTGTGTGTGTGTGTGTGTGTGTGTGTGTGGGTGTGTGTAGATTACACTAATAATACAAAGTTATTATGGCATTGTATGCTGTGTGTACCTTATTTGTAACATCTTCAGAAACCCTCCTGAACTCATCAGGTTCAACACAAAGCCTTTTGTTTGTCATTTAACGGTTAGCTATTGGAATTGAGCAGATTCATATTATTTATTGATTTGAATGAATTGAATCAGTTATAAGCGTATCATCCTCTCTGCAGAGAAGGTGATCGGCTGCAATCTGCCATCCCTCCACGACCTGCATGCCTCCAGGACCCTGAGGCGGGCAGGGAAGATAGTGGCCGACCCCTCCCACCCTGGACACAAACTGTTCACCCCCCTCCCCTCTGGCAGGAGGCTTCGCTCCATCGGGACCAGAACCTCTCGGCACCTGAACAGTTTCTTCCCCTCCGCTACCGGCCTCTTAAACAAGGCCCGGCCCCCCCGCTGACACTTTACCTCTGCCACATTATAGACTATATGCATTACATTAATGCACACAATGTCATACTCCTTTCTGCACATATTCTGATTTCACATTTCATAGTTTATATTCTAAAATTCATTCATAGCATTCTATTTCCATGTAAATTACTGCTTTATTTAAAGGTGGGGTAGGTAAGTTTGAGAAACCGGCTCGAGATACACTTTTTGTTATATTCCATGGAATGCTCTTAACATCCCGATAGCAATGAATATCTTAAGTGCTTTGACAAAAAATCCATTAAAAAAATGTCATCTGTGGAAGCCGTAGTACTGTAAAAAGCACGACCAATCATTTTAGCCGGCCCGGCTAAAATAACTGGATGGCCTACCTGCCTGTCAGCCTTCCATCTGTGCACAGACTTATCTCGTGCCCTCATTGGTCATGTGCGCGTTCGTGTGTGTTGGAGGAGGGGCTCTATAAGGAAGTGGCAGATTTTTTCCGGCTGTGTATTTTCAAATTCTAGCGATCTCGAGCCGGTTTCTCCAAAATTACCTACCCCACCTTTAATTTGTATTGCTATTTAACTGTATTTCATTTTATTACGGTGTAAAGATTTTGTGTTTTATATTAGATTTCTTGTTTTTATATTTTATGTATGCACCATGACATCAAGTCAAATTCCTAGTATGTGCGATTTCTGATTCTGATAAGATGTTTGTATTGAATGAATGTGCATACTGTTAATGCTAATACAGTATGCTTAACAATCTTGTGTTATCATTCATATTCTTCCTCTTTAAATGTTCCTCATTTCCATGAATTTGTCCTCGAGACATTTGTGTTCATTTCATTATATATATATTTTATTGTCAATGATAAGGTGCGCACAGTGAACAGGAGACTTTAGACATGTGTGACCATTCGTCATAACCATAAAGAAATAAAATACATAGAGATTGGCAGATTATTATTCAGGAATTTATTTATTTGATCAGCTTTAAGATGTTTATATTTAATAAATGTATATAGCATTACTGTTCTAAATGATCTGGTGGTATCATTTAATTTCTTCCTTAAATGTTCCTAATTTCCATGATTTTGTCCTCGAGACATTTGTCTCTGATTGCTTTTATTGTTCATTTTTTATGTAATAAATGTGGGGAAATTGGAGCCTCTATTTTGAAGGGAAAAAGACCCCTGGACATTTGTTCCTTCAAAATGGATGTCCACTCTTAGAGTTTTTTTACTTGATTTCAGGAATCAGTTGGGAAAACCGAAGCACATTTTTCACTCGGAGGAAACCCGTGTGGATTTAGAAGGACAAAGACCCGTGGCGATCTACCCTTGAAATGCTCTAAATATTGCACGCTACAGGTTTTTCATTTGCAGTTAAATGCTAAAATGCGGGAAAACCTGGAAGAACCCTGTGGCACAGTTCACTTACTGAACGCTCCTCCAGATGTTGGAGATGGCTTTTCCAACAGACCTAAAGAATCTGCAGATGGTTCTATGTTTCTGAGGTGGGTTGAGCAGGTGATGATCGACGGACCAGACTATACAAGATCCAAGTCGTGGGTCCTTTAAAATCAAAAGGGCCAGGACCATATCTGGAGAGCCCGTATTCTTGCACAAGCGCTGGTAAACAATCTTGTCAAGGTCAGCGAAGGTTGTTGGGGTGGTGTAAAAGTCCAGTTGCTGCACCTCAGCCCAAACTCTATCAAAGAGGCTCTTAATGATGTCCCCTGTGGTCTCCACATAAATCTGAACGCAGACTCTATTCAAGTCTCGCTGCCTGTTTGCGTCCTCCTCCAAAGGATTGGCAGTTCTCTCCTCACAAAGTGCGGCTCGCTCCAAAGCCTCGCCCCTCTCGGCCTCTGACTGAAACGGAGCCTCAGGCCCCATTATGGCCTGTTGGACCCTTTGACTCTGAGTGTTCACAAACCAGCTCATCAGCGACACGAAACGCCACGCCTGATTGCGGATCTCCGCGTACATGTTGGCATGCACCTGAGGAACGAGCAACGTCCTGACAGACGAGTGCCTGACAGGCTCTGGGAAATCACTGTGCGACATACAACTAGCAATGTGTCTGTACAACATGTCGCAGAGTGCCTGAGTAAATACTAAATGCTTTACACTGGAGCAGTCCTTGAACCTTTTAGAGACACTCATTTCTTTCCCCCCCTTTTCACCTCCCTCAGTCATGAGAAGAGCGCCTACGCCGCTCATCAGTGACATCATGGACTTCGTAGTTTCCGCTTTGGGGTCTGGGTGGAATTTATTTTTAAGCTTTACCACCATGCGATGAATCCAAGCTTTAGCAAAACGCTTTGCCAAGCAGTTCTTCACCCTCAGCTTTACGCCCTGCTTGCATTTGGTCTTCTGTTTTTGTTGACTGGTGGACTTGCCAACATTCGTCCTCTCCTGATTCTCCTCCTGCTGGGTCAGAAGGGCTGTGATGCCCTCCGAGGTGTTGGCGATCTCCAGAGAGCACTCCTCTTGCAGCAGAGCATAAACCTAGTCAGGCAAATCCTCCAGGACAGGATCGGTGATTTTTCTCAGCTCCTGGTCAATGAGTTCTTCGACGGATTTTTGTTTGCGGTTGTCAATCACTGAGTCCCCTGACCAACTCTGCTCCTGGACTCCTAGTAAGGAAACCATTGAGACCGGTGACTCAGCTCTGGGCTCCTCGTTATCCACCAATGGTTTCCCCAGGGGGGCGGAACTTAATTTTCTCTGACGTGTTCTACGTTGGCATCTCCCAATTCTAATTTTTCCTGCAAAGGCCTTCAGCATTGTGCAGGTGTGCCCCACCATAACGTTGAGCCTGCGGGGGGGAACGACGCGCTCAGCAATGTGCATCGGGGTAGAGACCTCTTTGCTAATGACAGCTGCACAAAGCTCCACGCTGTCGTCCTCCACCTGGCTCGTAACGTCCAGAGCTTGGGCGATACTCTGGGAGAATGCGTCCACCAGGCTGGACCTGATGCTCTCCTCAAAGCAGCCAAAATTGCCTTAGTTAGGGACGTCACAACCTCGAGAACAAGGTCTGCCACCACGATTAAGGTGGCGCCATCAGGTTTGCCTGATCTTTATAGAAGCCACTGATCTCCTGTCACCCCTTTAATAAAGGGCTCAACAATAGGAAACAGAGTCACTCTGAGCTCTGGCATTGCCTCTGTGTGTTGGCTGTTCATGGCCATTACAACTGTATTAACCAGCAATTTAAACAATACTGTTATTGATTATTTTTAAATATCTAGCAATTGAACAAATTATGTGGATAATTTTACATTTTTAGCAATTTAAAAAACAATCTGGATTATTTTTAGATATCCTGATATTTTATCCTTATTTACTTATTATATGCTGTTTTATTATTTAGTAAATGTATAGACCTATCTCCTTTTAAAACAGCTCAAATTAAATATTCTGTTTAAAAGACTCCTGTTTCATAGATAGAGTAAATAAAGTTTGTATGTTGGCAATTTAAAAAATGAAATAGTGACTCATTTTGTACAAATGTTTAACCGAGAATGGTTATGAATATTTATAAATCATATCAGTCAAAGAGTGAAATCTATTTGAAATAAATGATAAGCTGTTACACCATTTTGATGTTTCACTTCCTAACTATTTAAATTGTTTGAAAATGTCACAGCTACTATACAAAGCAAAGTTAATGTGAAATAATATGATGGAGGATTTTATTGAATTCACGATCACTAGGTGTTGTCAAAATACAGACATGAAAATAACTGTCAGAACCCTGAGGTTTTCGGACAAATTATCATCATTTCAACATTATTTCACAGTGTTAAGACCTACCACTGGTTCACAACCTATGGGTCCCGACCTCCACTAGGGGTCACCAAACCTCCATGTGGGTTCATAAGGCTTTTGCATTTTATGGCACGTGAGAAACAAACAAATATCTCAGGTTTTTAGTCATTTATCTCACTGATTAAAGCAAATCTTTGTCTAGGGCTTTTTTTTAGGAACGCATTATTCAAATAGAGAGAGAAAATAAGAAGAAAACTCAACTGCGGTGCAATATCAATGTGCAACGAGGCGGTCCACCTTGTTGCACATCATCCCACTATCACATAGCCACATACTAAAGGAATCAGACCGATACTCACGGTTGTGGGGCGGGGTGTACTTGTCTCCTACAGAGATGTAGCTCATCTCTTTGAAGACACCCAGACGCTCCATGTCACTCTTCACATATCCTGATGGCATCTTTAAACACTGGAAACACACACACACAGATACAACATGTTTTAAAACTGTAAACTTTACAGTAGGGATAATGTTACACACGTTATACACACATGCACACAGAGAAAGATTTAAACATACCTGTGGTTGATGTATAGCAGCTACAGTAAAGACTGTCTGTGTGTGTGTGTGTGTGTGTGTGTGTGTGTGTGTGTGTGTGTGTGTGTGTGTGTGTGTGTGTCTCTCTGTCTGTCTGTCTGTGTACAGGTTGGTTACCTTGGAGAAGGGGAATAATATAAAGTGTGTAAAGTTAGGAGCATCCTTCCTGAGTAAGGCACTGTTGCCTTCAAAATAAAAGCATGACATTTGCTTGATATATTTAAATTATGTAGAAATACAGTGATTGTGAACGACACAATTTTACTATACAAATGTTTGTATCACATTCTTCAAGGGGTAGTTAAATAAATCTCCATCCAATACAACATACATGTCTGCTGTTTCCTGCAGATGTAAAATAATCATTATGAACAAAGTGTCTAAGTCTCTGTAACTTAATAAAGATAACAGAGTTTATATAAGATAACACAATAGGAAATAAAACAGCTGTACAACGCAAATCATTCTGCTTAAAGAGTTCTCTTACTTTTGGTTATTTTAATAATATGTTGATGTCAACACTTTTTTATCCAAATATTTCTACGCTGTGGTATTATTACTGTGGCTGGACTACTTTGTGCACCTCTGTAAATAGATTAACATTTTAACATTTGCATGGGATTCAGATGAGTTATTGGATTTATAAAATAGGGAAGCTTGTCTGCCTCACCTGTAACATGCAGCATTACATTACATGTAGGGGGGGGGGGCATTGAGCCATTCTGCTGGCTTGTAATTGAGATGCAGGGATCACATTTCACAGGAGAGCTTCTATAGTTTCATCATATTGTCCTTTGCTTTGCACTGAATTATTACTATGTTACCCCTATGTTTGAATTGTTAAAAAAAACAGCTCTAACATACATATTTTCTCCCAACACAAAAACTGTGTTACATATGAACTGTTAGTCAGTGTTTCTCAGCTGTATCCATTCACATCATTATTATGACTGGAAAGTAGATTTAGGGAATGATTTGTAATAATGTTTGGAGATAAGACAAATCCTTGATCTGAGAACAAAGTGCCTCAAATTTGTTTTAATTACAGTAGTTGAGTAATTGTACTCAGTTTTGTACTTCAATACATGTACTTAATTGTACTTAGTAACTTAGCAGCATGTGGATGTGGGACACTGTGAACTGTGTAACCACTCCGCTCCTCTCAGTGCGTTTTGTGTCACTTTCCAATTCACCATGTCTCCTCATGATATCATGGCTTTAAGGCTTTATTTCATTCATTTATTTATCTTACCCTAAGCGCATCCACTCACAGAAACCAGTGAACATTTTGGGCATTATCTCACATAAAATGATCTAATTTGATAATCTTGAGATATTGTCTCTTTTACCACAAGGGGGCAGGCCAGCCTTGGTAATAAGAGGAGATGAAGCTAAAGCTCTCTGCTAATATACAAGCTTTAAGAGTCATTAAGGAGCGCTGAAGTACAGAGCAAGGGAGAGGGGGAAAGTGAAGACGAGGGAGGAACAGAAAGAGAGTGTCAGACTTTAAACACAGACACTGATGGACAAAGATAGAAGACACAGAGACATGAAGAGAGAGGACATCATACAACATGCACACAGGGAGAGAGAGGGAGAGAGACATTGAGACAGAGCGATGTCTCTGATGGCCAAACGTTACACACACACACGCACACGCACACACACACACACACACACACACAGACCAGCATACATACAGTATAGAGACACTCCACAGTAATATATGAAAACATGCATTACACTGAAAGCAGTAATGTATTATTATGTGGCTGACCATTACTACAGGTATATCGTTTTTTGACTAGGTGTAGTATTCTTTATTTTTGAAGTAATAAACAGTATAACGTACTTATTCGATGATTTCTAGACATTGATGGTTAAAATGTTGACTCCTCCTGTAGAGCACCCATAACTGTTGTATTAACATTGAAGGCTTGTGGGGGGGCATGTTGAGTTGTACCACACTAAAGCCCCATCCAGAAAACAGCCTTTGCAGACCATTTAAATGCACAAAAACCTACAGAACACTACAGGAAAGCATCTTGCCTGAGGATCATAACACTTTTTTTATATTTCTCTTCAGTATGAGAGTAATCCAGTGACAGCTGTCTTTACTTACATAAGTGCACTGCAAACATCGGCTAATCACATATCATTCACTTTTAATGCAGACTATTTTCACAGTGATGAATAATGACTGAAACCGAGTCGCAGCAGCTCCTGTCAGCTCTCTGCTGATGGCCACATGTTAACATGGGTTCCTAAACTGGCCTTTCTCTTCCTAAAAGTAACTTCAGTTGTCATTATTACTGGGGTGATGAAAACATACCCTCATTCTTTGACAGGATATAAAGCCATTGTGCACTAGATGAGTTCATCCAGTCTGAACAGAGCTTTAGAAAACCCCCCAACGGTGATTTCAACAATTGCAGAACTTTGTCATACTCCCTTTCCCGCCAAAACTGGCAACCCAGTGAAGAGGGGGAAGTCAGAGAACAGGTTGTGGACACACCATGTTTCAGGAATCCTGCAGTCCCACAGCCCCCGAACGCCACAGATGAGATCTCAGGCTGAGCTGAACACAAGCTCACAGCAACAGGAAACACAGAGAGATCCATGAAGGATTTAGCATTCTGTTAATGTGTAAATTGAAGTTTCTTATTAGATAACAATTGTGAATTTATTCAACAGAGAATTTCCTGAGTCTAAAACACAGACATGGGACTTCTGATGACTGTGGGTCTTTCTCGCCATGAGTCAGAGAATGTGAGGCTGTTACTGTTCACTCCTGTTTCATGATCTGATGTCAGAGCTGGCAGTCACAACCAGCATGACAGGCACAGTGTACTTGAGATAGACGCCACTATGTTAGGAATCATCTACTCGGTCCAAGAATGCAAAGGATATGGGTGAAATAACATTCTCAAAGTGACCATTTTCAAAACTGAGATATTCAACAAAAAATAAACACATGTGAAAACATCATACCATATACAGTACAGTAACTGTATCTCTGCTGAGTATAAAGAATCACTTGGTGTTGAATCAGTATTTAAAATCATGTAAATTCCAATACCAGCCTTCATTTCCCTCCTCTCTCACTTCCCTTTTCTTCCTCCAAGCTTTGTTGACAAGCAGCTCAAAGCAGGAAACCCATTCCCTTACCGATCTCAGAGGAAGATCACTGAAGATTTCAGTGAGAATTGATTGTGTTTTAGGAACCACTCTGTTCATATGACAGAGTTCAAACTGTGTCACTTACAGTCTAAGTTTGATAAGGGACACAATCACAGTCCTGGTGGTCATAGTCACAAACAGAGGAACTAGGACACTGACAGCATTACTTCTCCTTATTATTATCTCTCTCATATAATCATCAGTGTTAATGGGAACTGCTCACAGCTGTTACAGCAGTCTTAACACGTGTCTCTAATTGATCTAACAGTACTGTACAAATATGTCACCTTTAAAATATGTCTATTGCATTTTTCATGATACCTGACTCCCTCACTAAACTAAAAAAGTAAGAAGGAAGGCTTGGATGACCACAGTATTGAGTTGTTAAAGCCATGTGAATAGCAGTCAAAGGAATTGAAAGCCATCAGAGTAAATCCAATCGGCTGCACATTTCACAGAACAAAAATGTAACATCTTAATGAAATCCACTGAGCAGACTACACTGGTACATAGGTGAAGTTACAGCAACTGTTTGTGAATTTGTGTTGGAAAGACAGGTAAGCTTGCACAAACACTGACTCGAGAGAAACTATTTGATTATCATTTAACAGAAACATGGAGCTTTTTTTAGATTAGTCAAAGTTCTTCATCGCCTAAAGGGAAGTCTTTAAAGTGTTGTGCAGCTACCTCTGTGTGGGGTGACATTTTAAACCATAATTCTGGACAAGGGGGGAAGTTTGAACATTTTTATAATTTACCCATACATGCTTTGAGTTGGGTATTGTAGGATCCAGTGTTTTTTTTTAATTGGACCCGCACTATAAGTGATATATTTGTGCACTGACCCTTTGGCCTTGCCCTTCTTGTTTGCTTCTGCAATGCATGGCCATGCAATATCTCCAAAACCACTGGATGGATGGACACAAGATTTGATACCGATAATCAATATCCATGGTTGATTAGTTCAAACACAGGATACATTGTAATCAGTGACTTTCTTATAGTGCCATCTTCAATCCAACTTGCTAATGTCAACATGCTAATAATGAAACTCAAAGCATTGCAGCTACTCTATACAGCGACACAGAGATGCTAGCTCTGAGGACTTCATGGACAGGCATTTAACTGCTTGACTACCTTTTTTAAATGTCTCACTGATTAGCGTTGCAATCCAGAACCAAATATATTGTCTTTATTATTTCACACATTCTTCTTTCTCCTGAGAATCGGGCACACAATCCAACTTTACCAGGCACGTGCAGAGGAGGCTAGAGGGGCAAGAGCCAAGTGCATGCTGGGGGATTGTTTTGCTAGTTAAATAAACTACTTTTGTGACTTGCTTTGCACATGCCTGAACTTGAACACTGACAGCTGGCTGAATATTGGTGTGTGTTATAAGCAAATGCAGCCTCGGGCCACTAGCCTCAAGCAAACATTTATTTGGTGGATGTAATAAAGAGAGCACAAGGACAGGAGACATAAGAGGGAGATGTTTGACAAAGGTCACACAGCCCATTCAAACTCATGTTCTAATCAATGCCCCATCCAGTCTTATAATATTCACTTCCTCCCTCACTTCTCCGTCCTCCACCAGAGCCATTAAGCAGGGAGTCTCAGCAGTGGGTAGTGATGAGGAGAGATACCAGCCATCTTTTACTCTCCAATAAATCACTGAGATGTTT